TCCAAGCCTCAGTTTCCTCATTGATAAAATAGAGATGATAATAGTACCTAACTTATTGAATTGTGTAATGGGAAAGTTGTACTTGAACATACTCTGACCTAAATGCATAAATGACATAAAAATGTTTGACAACAGCAGCCATCAGGGCCCAAGCAGAAGGAACCGGGGCAGGTTGGAGGCCCCTGCTGGACCAGAAGCTAACCATTTCATTGCAGGGGAGGAGGTGGAGACGGTCTTGGGGATGGACCAATCAGCTGGGACTTTTCACCAGCTGGTACGGAGAAATTGTCAAGTTTTAACCACCTTACTTCTGAGCTCCAGCTGGCACAGCTTTACTGTTGAGTAGTAGCTGAATACCAGCTTTGCTTAAATATACAAAAGCTGCCTCTGCATTGTATCAAGTGCTCTTGTGTTCCTCTGTAGCCCCCACTGCCCTCCCCCCACCACCATGCTCAATGTTGAGAAACTAAATTTCAACTTGCCCACTCAAAGTAAGTTGGTCAATTTTATTTTGGATGAATACTCAGTCTTTGGGATTTCCACTCCTGTACTTCATGGGCGTGGGAAGTAGTTGTAAGCTTATTTGCAGTGATGTACGGTTCCTCCCTGCTGGCTCCCTGAGCTCCCGAGGAATCAGCCTCTCTGCCTCTAGAGCAGTCCCTTGGAAGTAGCCATACCTATAGTACCTCCAGGTGATCATTCCAGGCACCACAGTACATACTTGGCAGGACCCAGGGAAAAATGCAAATGGAGGGCCCTGGGTTCAGAAATCATTAAGAAGTTCAAGACGGCAACAGCAGAGCATTAACGCAAGCACAGGGGCCCAAGCATGGGGTCCTGTGTGATGACACAGCTTGAGCAACCATGAAGCCGGCCCTGGTTCCAGGAGGCTTCAGGAAGTTCACACACACACACACACACACACACACTCCCACTGGCCTCCAGTACGGGCCCGCCCCACCCCAGGGTGCAACAACTGTCTGGCAGATACACTGACTCTTATTCCTCTGCTGTCTTCTCCTCCCCACAGAGTCACGCAGAAACTTCTAAAACCTGTCTGACACGAGCTCTCACCTGAGGAAGTGTGGGGTGTCTTCTAAAGGTTTCTCTTCCTCTGTCCCCACCAGTAGGTTCTATCCACTGCACCCACGCAGGCCTACGTGGGACGCGTCAGGCAGTCTCCTGCCCTTGTTCCAAATGGGAAGCATGTGACTTGCTGCTTCTTCCTCAGGCCACGTTGGGTTCTGACCTTCTCACAACAGCTACTTTAACTCCACCCCATGCCTGCCACCCTTCTCACGGTCCATGCAATGTCTCCAAGCCCTCAGAATCTCTTTCTCTGACTTCTTTCCAGCCACCAGCTGCCCTTTTCAGCAGCAGAAGGGCTTTCTTCTTCCCCTCCCTGCCTGGGAGGAATTGCCCTTATATCACATCCTCTATCCTTTCTACATTGTGCCTCTTAAAATGCAGCTCCAAGAAGCCCCAGTCGCCTAATGGATAAGGCATTGGCCTCCTAAAATGCAGCTCCAACTTCTGAATTTTGCCATTGATATACGGAGAAAGCTTTTCAGGGGCAAAAAAAAACAAAAAAAAAAAACAAAAAAATTCTCTCTCTCTCTTTCTCTTTCTCAAAGCTAGGCTCCTTTAAAAAATATTATCTCACTATGGAACTTTTATTATTAAACACTTTTTGACCTCACAGTTGAATAATGGCTCCTTATTCCAAGGGTATCCACACTTCCCCCTAAATGATCATTGCCAATAAATAACACACGTACCTTACATAAAGAAATCAAATAGTGCATGGAACATGCTTAGCAGGTACATGGCATTAGTAAATGCTAAATAAATGGCTGCTACCAATTATCACTGTCTATTATTACCTGTGTTATTGGAAAGAAACAGTTTCCATTTCTTTCTCCCCTTACCTAAAACCAGATATGTATAAATTTTTTGAACTTTGAATAATATATACCCTAAAGGAAGGCAAAATATGTTTGTCAGATAAATTATTCTGCATAGTAGGTTCAGAAAATAAATTTACATTCCTGACTCTCTGATAGTCCCACACAAATGAAAAGGATTATTTTATTCCTCAAAACCTCACATAGATTAGATTATAATGATTAGGTTTCTGATATTCAGCCATTTTTTTTATCTAGACAAGTGGCAATTTCAGATGGTTCAATCTAAGAGTGTGATGAGCTAGGCCACTTTTTCGTGACTTTTATTAAGACCTCCTTCCATTTATGGAATGTGAGACCTAGAGAAGAAATTGCTATGGTAACCCTAAGAACCCAACAGAATCACACAATAGGAATTGGGAGAAACCTAGCACATACTCATCAATTTGCAAATCAGGACTTAAGGCCCAGAGAGATGAAGTGAGCTTCCCAAAATATCATGGCCAATTAGTGGCCAAACTAAGTTCTGGCTGTCTACACTGTGCTTCTTTCTACCACACCAGGCTGCCTTTCTCACTTCTTTACATTTGTCAAAATATGTTAAGAATATCACTGAGAAACCCATGTTCTGAAGATGATAACTAAGGCAAATATCAAAAGTTAAATAAAATCAAGAGATAGAAGCGTGTTTTTCAAAGACTTTTGATCAGTGATAATTAAACTTTTAAAAGGAGAAATGTCAAAATCAAGGTGTTTGCTTCTTAGACATCCTAATTTGGAGATTCTCCTGATTAAACTATTTTAAAGTCCCCTTTGTGACCCTACTCTTGAGACATGATTTTTCAGTGTTTCTTGAGCTACCAGCTTCCGGCTCATGCTTTATTGTTATTGCTTCAACATTATCTTCAAACCTCAACTTATTTGCAAATATAATTCATAATTGTCTCTAAAATACTATAACATGTCAAACACGAAAAAAACGAAATATATTAAAAAGCTCTAACCTTAGTTCTTTGTAGCCGTTATAGCTTGCAAAGGAAAAAGACATCACCAACTTGAAACTCCCAATTTAAGTAATGAATACAATGTGCTCATGTGTGACGTCATTCCTAGAAGCCATTGCTGTAACTAGTATTTTGTTAGTGCTGCACAGCTATGGATAAAGTTCTGTTAGGACTCTCACCACAGGCGCTATTCCAATATCTATACAAAATTGACTCATTTAATTTATATCAACCCAGTTAGGGACGTATTGATAATCCCAATTGGCAGATAAGGAAGCTGAAATTTAGAAAGGTTCCATAACTGTCCAAGGTCACACAACCTGTGACAGAATCACTATGAATCCTACCTCCATGCCACCCCATGACCAAGTAGAAGTCTATTCATCCTACTCACTTATGTCCCAGCCGGGACAGTAGTGGCTAAACCATTCGTAAGTCCCAGATTTCATGTGACAAGCTCTATTTAAGATATTCCAGTCTATTTTTCATAATATGAGTCAGATATCCCAGGTGGAGTTCAAAAAATAAGGCCACTGCAACAGCAGCCATGCCAAATCGATCGCCAGATCTGCGGTTTACACCCTTCTCACTATCATCTCCTACGGCTATTTTAAAATATGTCCACACACTCGGATACTCTTCCCTTCCAAAGTGAAGCCCAATTCCCCTTCCCTTGAGTGTAGGCTGTATTTAGTGAATGAATGGAATGTGGTAGAATTGACAATACATGACTTCCCAGACTAGCTCATAAAAGAAACTGTGGCTTCTTCCTTGCTCTCCTCTCTTGGGTCGCTCACTCTGGGAGAAGCCAGCTGCCATGCCATAACTATATTCGAGTATCCCTGTGGGGGGTTCCACGTGGGTAGGGACTGAAGCCTTCTGCCATCTTGGAAGTGAGTCCATCAGTTCCAATCAAGCATTCAGATGACTGACTGCAGGAAAAATTCTAGCTGCAACCGTGTGAAAAACCTCGACCTAGAACCACCCAAGTAACCCAATCCCAAATCCCTGAACTTCAGAGACTGTGAGATAAGGACCATTTGTTGTCTTAAACTCTTAACTTTGGGGGGTAATTTGTTATGAAGCAATACATAATTAATATGCATTTATGCCTAAATTATGCCTTTTCTTGTAACAAAGCAAATAGCCGAACTCCCCATGGCTATAAAAGCTGCCCTATCAGTAAGCCACATATTCTCCTTGGTCCAGGTTCCCTTAGAACATACCCAGGAGGTAGGATGACTAGAGGGTGTTCGTCTTAAGGCTTTGCCTCTGCTCAAAAAAGTAACGTAAGCTTGTTCCTCCACCAGTTACACCATGCCCTATTCCCTAAGGAACATGGGAGAGGAGGGTCAGAATCAGACTGATCAAAATTTTGTTTAAAAAAAGCAAAACTGTGACCTGTAAGATAAGAGCACTATCTCTAAATGTCCAGCGTCTGTGTGATGATAACCATCTCTGTGATGATAGCCTATATCACAAAGTTCTACACTTCAGCAATTGAACATAGGACATATCCTTTAAAAGCAGGAAGCCAGTTATTTCTTTAAGTATGTTGTTTCCCCCTATCAAACTGGAGGCAGTTAGTAAACAATGTAGTAGATGCAATGAGCTTAAAGAGTAAAACCCTCCCTTTGGAAAAGTAACTGTTGCCATACGAGGTGGGAAGTGGTCCTGGGCACTGAAAATCTCAGAAACAGCTCACTGAAGTGAAATGTCAACTCTGTTTTAACATAATGAGGCTAAAACACATTAAGGCTCTTGTCAGTCAAAAAAAGTTTTTTTTTCCTCAAGCGTTAGTCAAAGGGAAACTCAACACAGACATCTAAAAAGCTAAGAAGGCGGGAATTGGTCGTCAACCTTTTCCCATCTGCTCTTCAAACTCAAAAGAGAGTAATGTATTCTTTCATAAAGCTAATGTATTCTTTAGTGATGTCCATTCATCATGTCTGCCACAGTGGCCGCCAAACAGCTCATGTGTGATTTCTTAATGGAGCCCATCATGGAAACAGTGCCACTCCCCCTACCCCCCAACCCCAACCCAAACCACAGCAGGTTGCCAAGCTCAGGGGAAGTGAAGCAAAATGCTTACCCAGCCCTTCGGGGATCCCAGTCTTGTCTTTAGAGTGCTTTCTTTTCCCTCGTTGCTCCAGGCATGGAAGGCCTCCTAGGTTTTCAAAGCACAGTCTCTTGTTGATGAAAAGGAAGAGAACGGCCAGAAGAACAATAAAGACTCCAACCGCAGAAAAGAAGCCAATGGCTTCAGGAGGGACTGGCAAGAGAACACAAAGGAAAAACTATCATCACAATTGAAGTGACCCAATTTTTAGCTCTAATACATGATCCAATTTATTCATAACCTTTATGTTTACTAATGAGAATGGCAACTATTCTGTAAGTCCTGACTCTTGCTGGCATCCCCAGGACTATGTACAGGGGAAAGGAAAAGGACTATTCCAGGTACAGTCTGCGAGTCTGGTTCCTCAGATGACAGAACTCCATACCTTTGCCCAGGTGGTTCTTCTATCTGGACTACAACTCTTCTCACTCCTATCTTCACCCTAATATTCAACTTCAAGCACGCAAACTGTAAGAGAGCTATCCATCAAGTGCATTCAGCTACAAATGGTTGACCAGTGTGATATAAGCAAGTCTCTTAATAATACAGCTGCCTGCAGCTTAAAAAATAATCACTTGAGACAAATTTCAGACATGTACATCTATCAATAATAACGATTAAAGGAAAAGTCATTTCCTGGATACAGTTTTGCAAATCCAGCTATGCAATATGACAATGATGATTATCAATAGTGACAAGAAAATTCCCAATCCATGCCATCCAGCTAAGAAATTAAAATTATATTTTGACTGCTAATATTTTAGAATTTTGGAAGATGAAATACTATCTTCCTTCTTCTCCTAATCCAAAAATCCTGAGTTTTAAATGACCCTGGTTAAGTATGTCTTAGAGTCCCACACATTAAGTTTAGCTCTGAAGTCCATAGTTTGGTTTGGGGTTAAGAGAAGATTTTTCTAACGGAACGACATTTGAGCCAAGACCACATTCAGTAAAGAAATCCAGAAATCAACTTGTATAAAGGAATCAATTACAAAGCAGGTGTCAAAAAGTGTTATTCAAAGGAGTTAGGTATATGTGAAAGCTTATGAAAATGAATCTCCTAAGAGCAGCTTTAGTCCTTGGGCAGGTTTAATATGTGCATTAATAATGTGAAGGGATAATAACACTCACTTCACCCTACCATCCAGAGAAACAGAGAAAGGATGAATCAAACCAGTCCCAACCCCATGAAAAGATCGAGAAAATGAATAAAACTGCCTCACTGAATCTGTCTAGTGGCAAGCCAATAAAAGAACAAACAAAACAAAAAAATAGCAGGCAAGCTAATAGCTCTGTAGTCTGCAAAAAAGATAATCGTGCCTCCTATCAAAGCCAACGTATACCATGAAAAAAAATCTGCTCATATTGATTATTCCCTCCCCCTTCAGAGGCAGCACAGACAGTGGCGCTTACTGGCATGGCTTCAGCCGTCTCATTGCCTGGAAGAAACTCATATTCTACCACTTACTATCTGTGTGACCTTGGGAAAATTATGTAACCTCTCTGTGTTTCAGGTTCCAAGTAATAAAAGGAGATAATAAATAGAGCTACATCCAAGATTAAATGAGGTATCGCAGAGAATAATCTATGTGGCATCTGGCACATACAGAGTTTTCAAGTAGGAGTTTTCACCTTCTTCAGCATCACCACCACCATCTTTACAGAGCTGTTAAACTGCCTGGGAGCAGTCAAATATGGGGTGCATTGTGTGCACTCAGTGCTCTGGACCCCATCTCTCTCCCTTTTACCAAAACAATTATCTCTGCCTGTTTGCCCCTCACTTCTGTATTTTCAACTACTCCCCCTTGTAGATATGCCATCTTGTTCATCTGCATTAAAAACGCACCACTTATCTCCCTTCCTTTAAAAGCCCCTCTTCACCACCTGTGTTCCTCAACCATAGGCCTCTCTCTTTTCCCCTTTCTACACTCATCTCCACTTTCTTACCTTCAAAGCCACTAGCATCATTTACCCAGACTCCAACTGATCCCCATGAACTCAGCCTTACCCTCTCAAATCCCTTCTCCACCCAGTAGCCAGTGATCCTTCTGATATGTAAGTCTGATTTGGTCAACTGCCCTCCTAAAACCCTCTGTAGTGGCCTGAATTGTGGCCCCCAAAAGATACATCTACCTCGAACCGCAGAATCTGGCGTTATTTGAAATACAGGTCTTTGCAGATGTAATTAGGGTAGGATTTAAGACAAGATCATGCTGGATTAAGGTGGGCCCTAAATTCAATGATAAGTGTCCCTACACAAGACTGAAAAGGAGAGGGCACAGAAGAAAGTCATGTAAAGACAGGGGCGGAGACTGGAGTCACGAAGCCTGTGGATAAGGAATGCCAAGGGTTGCCAGCAGCCACCAGAAGCCAGGAGAGAGCCGTTAAGCAGATTCTCCCTCAGGGATTCCAGAGGAAGCAACACTGTTGACACCTTGATTTTGGACTTCTGGCCTCCAAAACCATGAGAACAAATGTCTGTGTTTCAAGCCGTCACCTTCGTGGTAATTTGTCATGTTAACCCTAGGAAACTAATACACCCTCCTCCAATGGCTTTTTATTACCTACAGGACAAAACTGGAATTCTTTAACTTGGTTTACAAGGCCCTTAATGACCTAGCTACTGATTCCAGCAGTTATTCATCATTCCCCAACATCAAACACTGTTGTCAGTGTATTCATCTATTTCTGGTTCCCCAAACACACTCACCTTTAAACAGGCCGTTTCATCTCCATGGGACAGATGCTTCCCCTCCTCTGGCTGGCCCTGGTACTATACTTCCTCCGAAAGCCCTTCTTGCTCCTCTCGAGGAGGCTGGACGTTTCCACTGTGTGTTCCCACCCACAGAGCCCTTGACAGCTTTTTCAACAGTTTTCAAACGTTAAATTTTAAACTTCCTAAGAATGGGGCCTCTGCTTCAGCTCTTCATTGTACTCTCAGCAGCTAGCATAGGGTTTGCACTCAATAAGTATTTGATGCCTAAATAAATGTTACAACACATTGAAAAATGTACGTACTGATGAAAACTTCTGGAGAGAACAGATATACCTCAAGGGGGTCAGTAACACTAACAACACATATGAATTATGTAAGATACGGTATTAAGAAAAAAAGGGTTCATCTCTCATTCATAAGCAGAAACATTTGCACCTAGTAATTAATTCAATTCATTAATGAAGCTAAATTTCCATTTTTGAATAAAGTCTATTTTCCCACTATAAAGCAACATGAGGTTCATTGCATAAAATCTAAAAAATATATTAAAAGATGAAGGCAAACACTGTTAAGACTATGCACTTCCTTCCACTCATTTTAACTTTTCAAGTTGGATGGTGGAGATCACTAGGAATAAGTACAAATCTGTCTGAAACAGAGGGAAGGCTTAGTTTGGCAAGTTTGGTTATTTCAACAGAGTTTATGTTCCTCCCATAATCTATCAATTTCAATTTCATCTTTTTCTATGTGTTCATGGGTACTTAGTGGGAACTCTGAAGAGGTGCATACGGGTTTCTAGCCAAATGCTTTGTTAAACTGAAGGGTAGCTTCTGTACTTTCTACATAGGAAGAGTATCACAGAAATGGCTGACAAGTTGGTAGTGACCCCAGATTTGTAAGAAATGCTTAACCAGAGTTGCACACAAACTGTCCTCTGTAAAAGTGATTTCAAATTCCAAACATAACCCAGTAATTCCACTTCTAGGTATACAGCCAAGAGAATTAAAAATATATGTTCACACAAAATCATATGCATGAACTTTCACAGCAGCATTATTTATATTAGCCAAAATGTGGAAATATTTCAAATGTCCATCAACTGATAAATGAGTAAACATGTGGCATATCCATACAATGGAATATTATTCCACAGTAAAAAAATAAAGTACTGATACATGCTGCAACATGGATGAACCTTGAAACATTATTCTTAGTGAAAAAAGCCAGACACAGAAGGGCCATGTACTCTAAGATTCCATTTTTATGAAATGTCTAGAATAGGTAAATTCATAGAGACGGGAAGTATATGTTGCTGTTCCCGGGATCTGGAGGGAGGCAGAAATGAGGAGTGACAGCCAATGGCTATTGGTTTTCTTTCTGAGGGAATGAAATTATTCTGGGATTGGATATTGACAATGGATGTGCAATTTTGTGAATATAGTAAAGCCAGTGAATTGTATACTTTAACAGGGTGTGAGTTTTATGGAATATGAATTTTATCTCAAAAAAAGTTTAAATTCCAAATACATTTTAACAAAATTGGGAGGAAATATGAGAAAAAATGATAATACTGGGTTGTCGGAAAAGTCATGACGTATTTTTTCCATGTTGCAAAATAGAAATCTGTTGCAAAAATGCGTCATGACTTTTCTGACAACCCAATAGTTTTCTTAGGTTTGGTTTGAAAGTGATTTTCTTCATGTTTAAATATTCTGTAATTTTATTATTATTCAATATTTATAATTTAAAATAAAGCTTAAATATAATAGGTTATGAGAACTGTAGTTAGCAGAGCTCCACCATCAATGTGTAACACTGAACACAGAATGCCAACAGCTCTATCAGAATGAGCCAAAGAGGGCTTGATGCTGCATTTGAATCTAAACAAAATGTGAGGCTTTGGCAGGGAAATAGAAAGTCATTTTGCATCCCACATATACAAATGCTATAGTAAAGAATCAGTATCACATGCATCATCTGTAATAGATGACAAGGGCACATATGTCAAGAAAGTGCCATCTGCAGAGTAACTCATCTGATTATTCCAGTAATTACTAATTGGAAATCAGATGGCTGTGAAGTTCAGTCACATAGTTTACATTGAAAACTTCCTCAAAGTTAAATATATCTCTCATGTTCCACTGGATGGCCCCATCTGTTGATTTTCCAGTAATGGCTCAAGAGGAAGACAGAGCATATAATGACATAAATCGAGAAGCCTCTGCATGTCACACAGACACTACATGTTTGTAAATTTCATTCTATGGTTGTTGAACAGAGTAAAAGAAAAAAGGC